TCCAGTTGCTAAACATGTGGATTCCAAAGCTAGACTGACTTGATTCACATTCCGGCTCTGCCCTTAATAGCTTTGAGACCGTGGGCAAATTACTTCATCTGCTCCATGGCTCAGTTTCCTCACCTGTAGAATGGGAAAAATGATTGTACCTATTTCAGATAACTTACCTCAGAGGGTTATTATGAAAATTAAATTATTTTTTAAATGTAAAGTGCTTGGAATATGCCTGGTATAAAGCAAATGCTCAATACATATTAGGCATTATTATTAGCATCACTTTGTTCTTCAAATAAGCCTCTGTTTGAATGCTTCTAGGGACACTAGAGTGAGCTTACCTCTACCCTCCCACCCCCTCCTTCTTCCCAAGGTAGTCTGGACATTTGGCCAGAAGCATTCTGGGTCTTGAGCTTTGGAGTCAGGCAGACTTGAGTTTGAAACTTTATTCTATCTGCAACCTTGGGAAAGATAATCCATGCTATCTTCGACTGTAAAGTGGCGAATAATAGTACCTACTTCACTTGGTGTTTGAAGGACTAGTTAAGGTACTTAACAGGGTTCCAGCTACATGGTAGGCACTCAGTCAATGCGAGTTGCTGCAATGATGATGCATAGTTGTTCTAAGGATTAAATGGAATAACATTTAAAGTGCCTGGCATGTAACAGATGTTCAAGAAATTTTAGTTTCCTCCTCCTCGTGTTCCAGCTCTCCCACTTAAAGTGACAGGGAAAATCACTTCACTTTTCTTGGACATAGTTTTCTCATGTAGAAATTGGATGTGTTTTCTGAACCTCTAACCTTGCATGTTGACCAGGGTCCAACTGCGGCCCCATTCTCCCACCTCTCAGCCTCTTTTGCTTCTTAGCATAGCTTTCTGCCAGTATGCACAGCTCTGCCACTATTATGATTATGGTTTCTCCCAGCAAACATCATATTTACAAACCACAAATAACAAAGTAGAAGATGCCGGAAGAGCTCTGGCATGTTAATTAAGAACAATAGCGGAAGCAGCTGGGCAGAAAATGCCAATGAGTCAGAAGCAGAGGCAGCATAGCTCTGTTTGTTGACAGAAGCCAGCGCAGTGTTGTACGTTAATTGGGAAGTAGGTAAACATTTGCCAGCAGCTTGCCCCCCAGTGCATTGAAAGACAGACAGCAGGCTGGGCCCTCCCCACTGCCTTGTCTGCCCATCTGCCCAGAGCCCAAGAGATACCAGTAGAGCAGCTTTTGCTCCGGGTTCCTTATAAGTAGAGAGGATTCTGGAGGCGGATGTGTCTCCTTAATGACCCTCCTGGGCTTCTCAGGTTTCCATCTGGATACAGTCAAAGATGGTGTTCCTCCTTGAGCTCACCAGCCTGCCTGTGACACCCTGTCCCCCAGAGCCCCCGTCCCTGTGGGCTAGGAAAAGACAGCGGAGCCATCTCATTAGGTGTGGCTTGAGTTGAGCAGAGGACAAGACTGCCTGCCTTGGGTGCTGTGGTCTCCGCCTACGGCCCAGAGCTCCTGTGTGACGGCACACCGCCCGGCCTCCCATCAGGCACACTCAGAGCTGCCCACTGATCTGTGTGTTCGCCCCTCCTTACAGTTGCTCACACGCCCGGCAGCCATCATTGAATACCTGCTCTGTGCCAGACACTGTGCTAATTATATATTTTTTCTCATTTAATCCTCACATCAGCCCTGCAAGATTGACACTAACTGCAAAGCCACAAAGCTAATAGCCAACACAGCTGTGATTTAAACCAGAATCTTTCTGGTCCCAAAGCCCATTGTCCTTTCCACTAAACCAGTATTTCTCAACATTTTAAAATTCATGATCCCTCTTGTTAAACAGGAAATTTTTGTTTCTTTCTCTCAGTCTCGGATTCAGAAAACGTCCACGTCCCATCCCTGCCCCTGGCCTAGGAGGTCATAAACCTAATTTAGGATCCCTGTATGATTAGCATATCCCAACTGAGCCAAGAAGATTTTATCTAGCTTTACTCTCTATAGTTCATATTACAAAATAATGGGGTTTCTTTTATTTATAAAATATAAAGTCATGTTATAGCATTGACTCATTTTTTCAAACTATCCATGCCCCTCCCCCACCAAGGAGATTGTAATATACCTCCCTAGGGAGCCTGTCCTTGGCCGGGGAGATAGTCACCTTTGGGCATGGTGGAGTGGGCGTTCCACAGTTTATTACAGGTAGGTTTAACAGCAGATGAGCCCTAAACAGGAGCCCCAAAGGCTTAGATCTTATCCCACCAAACAGAAAAGGCCCTCCCTACTGTCAGGAGCCAACCAAGGAGAGGTCCCCAGGAATGCCAGTCAGTTGTTTAGATTGCACCGTTTCCTAAGGGCCTCCTGCTCTCTTGGCCAAGCTGAGCTGCACAGGAGGCAGGGAACCTCCACCTGCCCAGGTCTCCTGAACCTATGCCCCACGGTCAAATGCTAGCCTTCCACTAAACTATGCGACGTGACCTCTCTGAGCCCCGGTTCCCTCACTATATTATAAAATGGGAATAATAACACCTACATCACGGGGATCAAATAAAGTAACAGCTGTGAAAATGCTCATGCCAATGCATAGTAGGCTCAAAATCAATGTGCGTGGATAGATCTGAATGTCTTGTGGAGAAAACGGTGCTTGTTCCAGTCTTTTGAATATGTGCTTTTTTTTTTTTTCTTTTAGATAACCCAGCTGGACCCAAATAAATCATTATTGGAGGTAAAGTTGTTCCCTCAAGAAACCCTTTTCCTTGAAGCAAAAGAGTAACCACGGCTCAGCGGTGGCACCAGCTGTTCCCTGACAAGCCAGAGGCCTGCTCCAGAGGAGGGCTCTTTGCCAACCCACCTACACGCTCGTCTCACTCAATTCAATGTCACACTTCTGCCTCTTGCAAGATTGCTGGAAAAAAGTAATAATAAACATAGCTACTCAAAATGTCCCTTCCACGAGTATATGTTCCCAGCCCTCATTATAGAGAGTTACACGCCCTCCCTTCTGCCCTCACGTAGCCCTTGTTCGATGCCTAACACTGTTCACGTGTGAGTGATCACAAAGTAGAATTTTTACCTCTCCAGTGCCCGTCTTCTCCCCACAATGTCTAGGATAGTTTCGTCTGTCCTGTGACACCAGGATGCTGTGTATTTGATATGTCTTATTGAGCCAGGGCTCATATACCTCTGCCTTTTTATTTTCATAACTGGATTTCTACTTTGTCACCTAGTTTCAAGAGGCAGTGGGGAAAAGCATCAAATGGGACTTCTTGGCATGGAGATGAAACATTGTTGTAAGGAAAAAAGCATATCATTTTTGCTGGTACTTTCTGACCTCTTTTACTAAGATGTAAGGTTGTATTTGAGGACTGAATTTGACATATATGCAAGGTATTTATTTACTGCTGCTTGCTTGGATCTCCTGGCTCCGTCTAGGAGGCATTTGCTGTTCCATTGCAGCGTGGGAAACTGTTTAAATGCACGGTGTAAATGCTGCGATAGTGGGAAGAGGACCAGCACCAGGACTTGGGTACCTGGCCCGGTGGCAGGAAGCTGCTGTTAGGTTTGCACTTGGGCCATTAGAACCGCACAGATACCAGCTCCCAGGTTGGTGGTCCTTCACTGTACACTGAACACAATTCCCTCCTTCTTTCCTCTCCCTCTTCTCCACAGCGATTTGGACCTTGTCACTTGGTGTTTTAAGCCCCCTGGTCTATCGCCAAAATCGGATCAGCCACCCCTCGGACTCTGAGCCTTGCTATTACAAGGAATTTGCTCCACTGTTTCATTCTTTTTATGTTTTAACATTAGATATTGGACCCCCATCTAAAATAAAAGGGATCTCTTTCTATGGCTGATAATTCTGGCTTCATATATTTAAGAGAGCAAACATGGAGGCTCAGCTCAGAAGACATGCGTTACCTGAACCCACATGTAATAATTTGGGCATGATTAGTAAATGTGATTTATGTTCATCTGTGGATTTGGGGTTTGGAGTTTAATTCATGGAAGCACTGTTTATACCTTTACTGCCAATGATTTCTTTTCAGTCTTGGAATGTTTCTTCATATCAGTTTTTGTATCATTAGTGGTCTCTATCCTAGGGAGCTGGGATCCTGATTTGACATTTTGTACTTATCTAAAAGAGTGTCTCAGTGCTGGGTTTCATTCCAGCCCAAGCCAGGGGATTCTCATAAGACTCTAGCCAAAGCCTGAGATATGCCTGGTCGTTTTCCCTCTGCCTAGAAGTGGGTGTTGGCCAGGAAAATTCCATCTGTGTCTTTTCTCTGATACTCCCACCAGGGACCTCTCCTGAACTCTCTCTTAGAAGAGACCTGTGTGTTCCCAACAGACTAACACTGTGTCTGCCTCAGTGCAGACTCTCTCTGGCCCCAGAGGTCTCTCCACGGAGGCTGAAAGAAAGAGACCCACTGCGGGGGAATTCAACCTGAGCACTTTCTCCAGCTCCATTCCTACCTTCTTACCCTAGTGGCCCCATGAGACAGCCATTTCCAGTGCTGCAGATGCACGAGGGCACCAGCTCTTCTTTTTCCAGGTGGACCGTGTTCTGTAGTTGCCATGGAGAAGCTACAGCCCTGAACTCAGGCCATACTCAGGAACAGCAGCAAGGGTGGGGGTGGGGCTGGAGGGATGGGACTCTGAACTCGTTTCATGTTTAACCTATTCTATCTGATTTGGGTTTGATTTCATCACATTGTTCCCACCTATCATCTTCACTTCTGTATTCCAATAATACAGACTTTACTCTGAAACCAATTTCATAAAAGTTATTAAATGCTACTTGAATGTGTATGGAGTTTACATGCCCTTTTTCAACCCTGTCTTGGAAGATTCTCCTTGCTCAGTCCCATGAAATTCTTTCCTATCTGGGAAAGGCCTCAGCTAATTCTCACTGTTCACTCATGTCATTCTGGTCTACTGAGCTCCAGAGCAGGAAGCCAAAGCAGTGTTATGCCTTTTCTTATAAACAGCATTAAAATGAATTGCATAAAGTTAGGCCCCAAGAAAAACTAAGTGACTTGCTATCACCACAAAAATGGCAATGTCCTTTGCAGTTCTTCCTCTTACCCTTAAGCTTCCTTGGACATTATATCCCAGCCTCCAGACACAGTAAGTCAGTCAGCTCTTGCGCCCAGCTGTTTGTAGTGAAGTTCCAGGGGTCCTGTCATCCCCACCCCCACTCCACTTCACTTTGGGTTTCTTAGAGTATCAGCTGTACGTTTGGAGCATAGTTTAAAGATTTAAGGAAGTATTGCCAGTTTCCCTCTGCCCCACAGAAGGTGCAGCTTGGGGAGGTTTCTGGTTTGTGACATTGCCATGCTCTGGCACCACTAGTTTTATGGGACACGTGTTCTCTGAATTGTAAGCATCCAAAAGTCCCAGTTGGATGAAAGCATCTTTTATGGAACCTTTCTTTTTTAATATAGAAGAATAGGATTTTGGTTTTTATTCATTTTATTTGGTGACTTTGGAAACATAAAATAAGTTTGCAGTTGCATTAAAATTGCTACTCCCAAAGTTAGCCCTGCTGACCTGAGTGTGATGGGTTTTAAAGATTTTGCAGAGCTCTAGCAGACTTCCCCGAAAGCACAGAAGTTGTTCATGTGGATGTGGGAGAGGGCCTTAATTGTCTCCAAGGGCAGCATCACTGGTGGGACACTTCCATCACCCACCCAGTCCTGGGTCCCACAGGTGGATGTGACATGGAATCCTAAGCTCAGGCCAGGAATAACTCACATAGCCCTCACGCTTTGCAGTCTATGTGACCTTTTCTCGTGCATTATCTCGTTTGATCCTTTATACAATTCTCGGAGGGAGACCACACACACACACGCCAGAGACTTCAGTGTCTTCCAGTTTGAACCTTGATTCTGCCACTTAATAGCTGTGTGACCTTAAGGTGAGTAACCCCTTAAACCTCAGTGTCCTGATAACTTTCAGATAGCGTTTTGCAGTTTATCACACCCGTCATCACAGCCCACTGAAGTGAGAGAAGCAGGGCAGAGACGATCATTCCATTTTTGCACGTGGAGCTCAGGGTAGTGGCTTGCCTAATGCCACACAGAATGACAGCAGAAGTGTCAGAATTCAAGCCCTGGGCTCTGATTTTCAGGTCCACAGCCCTTCTATAAAGAACCTCTAAATTGCATGTCCGAGAATGGATCTTGCAATCCCCTACGATCATGTATGAAAAGTTCAATGTGTACTTTTCTGAAAGGGGAATCTGTATTCATCAGATTCTCAGTGGGCTCTATTGATGCCAGAAAATTAAGAGCCAACATTTACATCATGCAAACAACATCAGACTACTTGGGAAGTTGAATCTGTCCATTCTTTTTATCAAGCTATTTTTTACCTAAAAGAGCTGCAACCCCCAAAGGGTGAGATGCAGCAACTAGGCTTTCTTGCCTTGAACTTCCCTCTGCATTTAGTGCCACTCCCTTGTCTCAAGTACTCTGCTCTGGAAAATGACCCTTCACAACCCTAAGTGGTCAGACAGCTCCTCCCTGCTGTGTTTTGAAAGTCTGGTCTGAAAAGAAATCCCAATAAAAGAAACTTGCTCTCCAGTCTTCAGTCTATTTGCTCTTAATCTGTACACTGCCTGGTAGTTGTGGTCCTCGGTTTGGAGAGGTGACCTAACATGTGGTTAAGAGAATAGCCCCTGGAGCCAATATTGCCTGGGTCCAAGCCACTCCACTTACTAGCAGTGTGCCCATGAGAAGTCACTTCACCTTCCTGCGCCTCAGCTTTTTTGCTATAAAATGGAAATAATAACAGTACCTGGTTGATAGTTGTGAAGATTAAATGAATTAACAGTTAACATGAAATCAGAACAGCTGTTATCTGGCCTACAAACATATAGGATTATAAAAGGAAAGGAGAGTAGGTGATGACAGCAGTGATGGGGCGACAAGACTGAAAAGCAGACACAAGAAGTCCAGGAGCACTGGTCTAGAGCCCTTCAGGAAGGTCAAGAGAGCCCTTTCCAAAGCATCACTGTTACTGGTGTCTGTCCATACGGATAAGCCTGGGGCATCGTGGGAAGGAGGACTAACTTGCTGAGCTCTCGGGATGTGCCCAGAACTGTGCTCAGAGTGTTACATGCGTTACCTCATATAACCCACAGCAGTCCTTTCAAAGGCTGCCCATTACCCTTCGAATAAAATCCACACTCTTGGCTGGAATTTGCAACCCCTGTCATCTGGCTCCTACCTCCCTCCCCATCTGTATCTCCAGCCATGCGCCCAATACCACATGTCCTGAGCTGCCTGAAGTTTCCTGAAAGCATTAGCTTTCTGTCACCTCTGGCCTTGCACACTATTCCCTCTGCCCCGAGTATTCTTCCATCACAACTAGACTCCTACCACCCATCCATCCTTCACTTTCAGTTTAACTTCACTTCCTCTGAGATGGTTTCCCCAACCATTGCCCCACGCTCCACACCCCCTCCAAGGTAGGTGCCTGTGCTGTGAATTCTCAGCCCTGTGCTGCCCTTCTCCTAGCACTGGATCACCCTGAGCTCTGTAACTCTAGGCTCACATATCCTCCCCATTACCCCCTAGACTGTGAGCCCCCAAAGGGTTTGGGTCACTTCATATCCTCAAGGCCTAGCGAAATGACGAGTATGTAGTAAGCATACAGTAAATGTGGACGTGTTAACTGAATTTAAACAAAGAAAGATGTCCATATGCTAAGAAGCTGGTCACTTCCAGCTCTAACATCCAGCTCATTGGGCAACATTGTGAGGGCAGAGACCAGATCATAATTATCTGTTTATTTCCAGAGCCAGCCCAGGGTCTGGCACATAGCAGTCGTGTACCCAGTGGTTACTGAAGCCGTTAGTTGGCGCTGGAGCAAAACCAACTGGAGCTGCTGGGAAGAGACAAACAGTAAAGGAGTTGGTGTGAGAGGTGAGCCCTGCACAGTGCGCACCGTTCTCCCACACCTTCCTCAGAATTACGCTTTGGGGTCACCACTATTAGTATACTTACTTTACAGTTAGGAGAACTGGGCGCTCGGAGAAATGATGTCACTGTCCCAGAGACACACAGCTGGTGGGGAGAGACGCTGAGCTCCCACTCTGGAACTGAGCCCAAAGCTCATGCCTGCTCCGTTTTCCCTCATCAATGAGGCCCCCCTCCCTGTGCTGCATCAGCAGCTGTAACTTCTAACCCATCGATGACAGTATAATAAAAATTCTCACGCACTCCTCTCCTTGCCTTCTATGATGATGCACTTCTCCTGTTCGCCTCCCACCTCTCTGAAAGGCCCTCCTCTGTCTCCTCGGCAGTTTTCCTGCTCTGCTTGCCTGTGAAATGTCAGCAGCCCCCGAGTGCCTCGCTCTGCCCTCAGCTCTTAAACTCTCCTTAGGCAATTTGTGTGTCTGAGCCTCAGTTCAGATTTTGCCTAAGGTATAAACTCCACGAAGGTAGGGGTTTGAGGCAGTCTGTTGTTTTATCCCTCAGCATAGGCCTGGCACTATGTAGGTGCTTGATAAATAGCTGTAAATAATATAGTGAACCTTTATATCATGTTTATTGTATGCCAGGCACTAAGTGCTTGATTTGTATTAACTCATTTACTCCACACGACAACTCTACGAAGTAGGAGCTATTACTATCCCCACTTTATTGGTAAGCAAACCGAGGCACAAGGGATTAAGTAATATGCACAAGGTCACACAGCTAGTAACCCAAAGAGCCAGGATTCAAACACAGGCCATTTGGCTCCAAAGTTCAAGCTATGACCACTCCACTTCTCTGTCTCCTCCAGGAAGCCTCATGGAGTCCCCAGGACAAGTTAGGGGCCTCTTCTAATCACTGCGCTTACTCCTAACAAA